TACACCGTTGATTGCCTCGACGATTCCAAGAATAAATTCATCTCTCTTCCTCTCTCTATCCTCACCTTCTTCTCTCTATCCATCTACCTGTAAGCCACCTCACAGAAAAAGAAACACAGGAAATATAAGCTTTGAAAGGCAACACTAAATAATCATGGAGGAAGCAGCTGTGAATAACGAAGAGAGAAGGAAACAATTAATGAAGCTGCCTTTAATTAGGAGCCTTCCCAAAATAAGCAACGACGGGAGATATGAAAAAGCAATATTAAGCGATCATAATTATTGCTTTGCTTAATTCACCAACAGGAGGAAGGCAGGAGAATCAAATAGAAGGAATTAAATGTAATTTAATTAACTTCCATAGAAGTAGAAACTGTCAAATCGAATCATGGACCGGGCTCCACAATACTCAACAATTCTCACCATTGGATACTGAGACACAAACTGCTCCATCAACTAGCTGCGTCGCCCTTTTCTCCAAAAGAGATATCATCCACCCCTACAACTAAAAACTCTTGTCTTCAAGCTAGAAGACTAACTGAAGTAGATCACAACTTTATCTTCTCAAGAGTAACACCCTCAGTCGACATATAAACGTCAACATAACCTTTTACCTTCAGACTCTTTCTTGTTTTACTCATATTTCTGCTTACAACTCCCACTGTATGGGCAATATCATGCCGCTGTTGAAAGCCGTTTTCAAAATGTCTAGCATTGTACATCTTACGACTATCAAACGCGGTCTTCAACGGGTACACCCACTTGTTGTGCAATTTCTTCTTCCCCAGTGGAAGTTCTGCTAACTCCCAATTCTGATTTCCAAGCAGAGAATCCATCTCCTCCTTCACAGTCTGCTCTCTCTTGCTCAATTTTTCATCTTGCAAGGTTTTTTCATAGCTTTGCGATTTTCCACCATATGTCAGTGTCAGCAGAATGTAATTCAAGGTTGGTGAGAAACATTGTGGAGAACGTTGATTCCTGACTGACTTGTGAATTATAGCTGCACGAGTGGACTGCTCGGAAGCTGACAGCGAAATAATATGAATGGGTGCCCTGGACCCACTCTCCTCATCACTTTCATCACAGATCTGCATTGTGACATCTGGTAGATCATCAAACCTTACATTTCTACTGTGGTCATCAATGAATCTGACATAGTAACGAGAGTCTCCAAGATATGCCACTGAAGAAGGTCCTAACACATTTATGTGTACAAGATCTAGTTTTCCAGCCTTTAACGCTCTGCCACCTTTCAAGAAACTAACATTCTGCTTCCTCATAATGCAACTCTCACACATGTCGAGATCAACTAACTTCAGTTCTTTCATGCCCTTCCGACTCACGTGATCAAACCTGAGTAAACCTGTAGGCACATATAGAGTGTTAGTTCTCTTACCCCGAGCCAGTACCAGTGCCCCTTTTATAATATTCCAAGAGCTTTTTGAGAACACTATTGTATGACCACCCTCACTGAGTTGTCCAATAAAAATGAAATTTTTCTTCAACTTAAGGGTGTGTCTAACATTTTGCAAAGTATATTTGCTCTTGTTAGATAGTGCAATATTTAATGTTTCTCATCCCCACCATGTCCAGAGCTTCTCCATCAGAAAGATACACCTTCTCAAAGCCACCTACAAAATAGTTTCACATTAACTCCCGGTTGCAAGATGTATGGAAGGAAGCACTTGAATCTAGTATCTAGTCATCAACAGAACTGTGAACTGTAAGCAATAATGCATCATGTACTTCTTCAGTTACAACATTAGCACAATTACTCTTCATCTTTTTTTGGATTTTTGAAGTTCTTATAATGTGGTCAGCATTGCCCAATTCCAGCAGGTTGTTTGCTGACTAGACTTTGACTTACTCTTGCCTCCGTGCTATGATTTCAATCTTCCTCTGTTTGAGTCATTGACTTCTGATCTCCTAGAATCAACATTCAGCGTCGAACTCGAACCCGAGGTCTCGTCAGAATCTTTCCTGCGGGCCTCATCAGCCAAAATCAAATCACCAATATAATCATATTTCAGCTTAGATTTACCTGTTAAATTGCTAATTTTTAACATCATGACTTCCTAACTATTTGACAATTAAGTCAATAATATCAACGCATATATCTCACAATAAAAATTAATTTCAACAGACAACAATTAATTTATTATAGTATTGAAATCATTCAGGTGTTGAGCAACAAACACACTTTCCGCCATCTTCAAGTTTAATAACTTTTCATCAAGTGCATCTAATTATTCGTCGATGACTTTTCATATGTACATAATAAAACTGTCATAAAATCTGCAGTAGCCCTTTCCTTGATGATGTTGTGGTCAATAAATCTCGAGAGGGTTAATCGAATAACTCCCAGAATATGTCAATCCAACAAATTCCATTCAATCTTGTCCATCTTTTCCGGTCACTTTTCCAGTAACGGAAGATGAAGTTTCTTCCCATAGAGGTAGTTCTCTATCTGCATTCTCTAGTAACCAAAATCTGTTATTAAACGTCTCGATCCCTGATACCAACGTTTCGTCTCCGACTATCGTTCTTTCTTAGACCCGAAACCAGAGCTCTGATACCAATTATTGTAAAAAACAACGACAATAAAACGTAAAACTAGAATGACAAATTCACAAATCTAAAACACAACAAAAACACACTGATTTATGTGATTCAACGAATTGCATGCGTCCACAGAGCTATAGGTGATTTTATTAACTAGAGGAATTACATCGTCGATTGCTTCAAAAATTACAAGAATAACACTAATCTCTCTTCCTCTCTCTCTCTCCTCACCTCATTCTCTCTCCCTATCTACCCGTAAGCCACCTCACAGAAAAAGAAACACAGGGAATACAAGCTATGCGATTCGAAGCTCTACCCCGTAAGCCAACGTCAGTTGCAGAAGAGAAAACCAAGGGAGATGCTTCATATGCAAATCCTACTTCTGCTTTTATTGGCCCAATTTTGCCCAATAAGGCAACGCCTAATAATCATGGAGGACGCAACCGTGAATAACGAAGAGAGAAGGAAATAATTACAGAAGCAGCCTTTAATTAGCAGCCTTCCCAAAATAAGCAATGGCGGGAGATATGAAAAAGCAATATTAAGCAATCATAATTATTAATTCACCAACAGGAGGAACGCAGGAGAATCAAATAAAGGAAGGAATGAATTAAATGCAATTTACTTAACTTTTATAGATGTCAAAACTGTTAAATCAAATGGTGGACGAGGCTCCACAATACTCAACACAGCTAAAAAGCACTCATGTGACCCAAAGAGAATACTATGACAGATGAATGTGAATATTAGTGATGAGATCATTAAAATTTTGGGATGTTTGACTAACAAAGATGTATGTTATATTATTTCCATGTTTATTATAGTGGAAAGAAATATATCAAAGTTCTTACAAGAAGCTCCTATATGATCAAGTAGTTAATTAAATTTACATACTTGGAAAAAGAATATCTCAAAAGAATATAAAGTGTATTTTATATCTCTGAAGCAGATAAAATAAATGAAAGCTATTGGTAAATGAGTCTACTTTGTACATTCAAACAGAGCATAATTATACACTAGGAAAATCAATCAAGCATATATTAACATTTTTTTCCTGAAATGAATCAAACACCTAATACATTACAACTATGCATCTAACTCGAACACAAAAATTGTAAGAGCAACATCAAAACATAAGATGTGTCCTTTCCCAATAGATTCATTAACAAACATAGAAATATTTCTTTTGAAAATGAACAAATAAAAAAACCAAACCAAATAAAAATATATAGAGAGATTGGAGAAAAAATAACTCAAAGCACACCAATTCGCTGCCCTCCGTAACCCTTGCACACTCAATGACACATTGAGCAACGTGAAGTTACCTGGGCCCTGCTCAAAACTGGGGTCTATTGGGCGTAAGACACAGGGCTTTTTGCCTTTTTTTCACAAAAGAGCATTTTTAAAAGCCTTGGA